GGGTAAGACACTGGTATTACTATTATTATTATCATCATTATTATTATTATTATTTCCTCTCAAGTGTAGTCTGTGCTTTGGCACTAGGAGACAATTTCCATAACTGTAAATTTACAGAAAAAGTATGGAATGAGATATGCTCTAAGTTAATAAACTCAGACATTTTGGTTGTGTAGAAGGACACAGGCTGCATGAATTGCATCTTAATTTAATTGGTGCAACTCGTGATTGGACATCAAGACAGGAAACAAACCTTTGTCTACTTTAACTGTTCCAATCTCTTTTCATTTAGTAATTTTCTTTCTGGTTTTAATATTTGTAAGTAGCAACATACCACTAGTGAACTCTTAGTGTTTTAAAACCACTGCAATGAGTTTACAGTGTATAGTTTTACATACAGGGTGCATTCATTTGGGGTTTTGTGCAGTGAAAGCACATTCTCTGTGAACAACATGAACAAAAAACTTGACAGAAATCTCAGCTAACAGGGTTTTTTTGGTCATATTTGGTTGGGTGTCTCTCAGATTGCCTAATGCTAAGGCACGCTAGGGTGTGTTATTTGAACATTGTTGGGTATTTAGCAGTGGGCTTCTAAACAGCAGTGTGATCAACTTTTCAAAAGGCTCAATTCAGTAGTGGGTTGTGTTACTTGCAGAGTAGGTGCTACAGTGGTTTTGGACGTACTTAAGGGTGGAACAAATGCTGTAAACAAGGGAGGTCAGTCTGCTTCTTAAAAGGAATTTGAGCTAGAATGTGAAAATGGTAGAGGCAAGGAGCAATGAAATGTGGATATTGTTGCATTTTTAACTTCATTCACAACTTACCAGTGTCCCACCTTTTATCCGTTTCCACAGCCTTACGACAGCTTGCCTACCTCACAGACTTGTTTCTTTCAACTGAGGCTCCCACCCTACTCCAGTCAAGTAATCATGGCAGAGCGTTTGCGCTATGCAATCAATAATTGCAGGTCTATAGACATGGACAATTACATGCTCTCCCGGAATGTGGACAATGCAGAGGGCTCAGACACAGATTATTAACATTCTGTGAACAAAATCATCTTCCTTTTACTACAAATAGTGCCCTAAGTCCAATTCATCGTTGACATAATTTTACAGTAACCATAGATGTTTTAGGAGCATAAAACCAGATCTTAATAGATGGTGGCCACACTTTAGTTACTCTAAATGTAACAAAAAATTAGATGTTTTTATTTTTTTGTGATTGTAAAAAAGGAAAAACAAAACAAAAAACTATGATCGGTAAGTTTTTTCTCCTTTTTTGGTCACTTTTGATAAGTTTGCATGGAGACATTTTGGTGCATTTTTGTTGGGAATAGTACATTTGTAAGCCCTCCCAGTGAACATGAAGAGTTGTACATTGTGTATAATTGTTCATTAGCCAGAACAGTTTTACATGAATATTCACATATTTATTTTGTTTCAATTTGAATTGCCTGTGCAGGGTTCCTTCTGCAGAGAAAAATAAAGCAAATTCAAGACTCGGTTGCTTGTATGCATTTGTGAACTGTGGTTGGCTTACTCAGGCTTCATACTTTTATATTTTGTCTCAGGAAATTACAGTCTTACAGTGTTGAGACAGGGTGTGACATTTGAAGCCTCTTACAGTGTTTAGCCTGCTGGACTGTGCTGTGTAGCCCCGTGCTCTGCCTTCTCCTGGCCTGAGGCCCTGGCTGCTCGGGTGTACTGCTGCTCATTCCTCATGCTGCAATACAGGTTCATGCTGTGCTTGCTTCCTTCTTGCTTTTTGTTTAAACATTTTGCTCCTCCCTAGTAATTGTTGACAATAACAGCATGCTGCCACCCTGATTCAGAAAACTTGAAATATTTTGAGCAAAATAGTAATATTTTTAATGGACACATTGATGTAGTTGATTCCTGCTCAGAGTACACAAAAATTCAAATGGAAGGGACAGGGTAGTAGTCAAGGTTGTGGATTTTATTCACATTTTTAGTTCTGCCTTTGGTCTCATTTCATCTCAGCTGTAGCTATTGTGATCAGCATGGTTTGAGGGACACAGTGATGGATGTTCTGTTTGGTCAGGACAGCAGTGTACTGCACAAGGAGAGCTCTGCTCAGTGCCTGAGGAAAGTGTTGGACAATAGGTAATTGCTGTTGTCTCTCAGTGTGAAAGACATCACTGGTGTCACGCTACAAACACTGCTTGGTGTTGAGAGCAGGATGTCCCTGGGGAGGGAGAAGGGGAGAGGCTGTCCCCAGTGAGTCAGAGCTGCTCCCATTTCCCCTCTGCTCCATTTCTTCATTTCTTCCTCCCTCAGCTCCTTGGGAAGATGCTGTGGGAACTGAGGGCTGGTGAAAATGATTATTAGTGTCATTGTCACCTGGGGCAAGACTGGTCCACCTGAGTGGGGAGTGTAGGGTAGAAATTCCTGTTACTTTCTCTCATGTGTCTGTTGTACATTAACAGGGACTGATTGGGAAATTTCCTGGTTGTCCAGACTGAGCTGCTGTATTGCTGCCAGCTGACACTGCTCAGAAGGAGGGCTTGGGGAGCTGTAAAAATTGCATATCTGGGTTTTATCTGGTGAAGTTCTCTCAGGACTGTGTGTTGGCCCTTGAAAAAGGCAAAAGCCTAGCTATGGTCAAAGACCACTGCAGAGTGACATAGTTGAGGGGATCAGGAGTTGGGGGAAGGAGGGTCTCACGGCTCTGAAATGATGCAGACTTGGTTTCCTGCCTTATTGTCTGTTAGGTTTCAGATTGGGCTGAGATGTTGGTGTTCCATCACTCTGTTGTGAGGATGTGTAGTCACATCTTGGCCTAAATGTGTAGGTTTAATAGGTGAAAAATACAGTATTTAAATAAATGGGGAAAGTGCTGCATTAAGTCCTGTATTATTGCATTCTGTACCTCATGGATGTGTCTTAGTGGCACTGATTTGTCAGCCTGTTTCAGTCAGCACAGGAAATAATAGAACTGTGCCTAGAAATGACAGTTTTTTGTGTGCTGTTAGCTTTCTGGATAATGAAGATCTTTTGGAGGCAGTTTACAATAAATTCACAGGGGATGATGATTAAAGGTTTGTGCTTGATGGAACTTTGATGGCTTGGAACTAAAGAAAACTGTAGACATGTTTCCATCCTCCATAATACCCTAAGTAAAATGTCATTGTTTTCTATACTCTTATTTTCAGATTGGATTGTGAAGTAAGAAAATTCATTATTGACGCTGAAAAAATGTATCAATACAATAATGTTCAGATTTTCCCATGTCATGAACAAATATCCCCATTCAAGGAGGGGAAGAACAAAGTAATAAGTTAGAGCATTGTTAAACAAATAGGGAAAGAAATCAAGTGGAGAGTGTTTGAAGACCCTTTTTAGCTCTATAAAAGAAAACTAAAAAACAAAACAAACCACAAACCCCACAAAATACCCTGCCCCTCCTTCCCCCCCCCCCCCCCCCCCCAAGTCCTGGTAGAAAACTGGCAAAAAGGCTTAAGTGGTATGGAGACAGATGCAAATGTGCTTTCGTGTCTTGTAGCTACTTGCAGACCTGTTCCTGTTACAACCACAGAGACACCTTTCACCACAGAGTGCTGGGAGAGCTGGTGCCACGAGGAGGTCTTTGCTTGCTGCAGTCACTGTACAAGTTCATGCCTTGTTTTGGCCTGTCAGCAGTGTGGAGCTGTTGTAGTGTATCCAAGGTACAAGTTGTGTCAGCTTCCCAATTTCCACATTTCCACATCACAGTAAATGTGTTCAGCTCAGCAATGGCCTTTGGTAGCTGTCAGTGCTGGGTGAGGATTGCTCTGTCTCCTCATCTGCACTTCCAGTTTTCTTCCTTACCTTGTGGTGCATAAGGGCCCTACTTGAACTTTAGGAAGAGTTAATGAAATACCACTTTTACAGTGTCATGCTGTTAAATATCTCTAAGTAATGAAGGTGGAATAATTTTGTTTCCTCATCGGTTTCTGGGTGAGTGTTTCTTCCAGATGCTCATACTGATCAAGTATTTCTCTAGAATTGCAGTATTGTTTGACTAAGCTATGATTTATTTCTTACCTCAGCCAGATTAGAGAGTACCAAGTATATCTGTGGATCAGTTAACCAGGATCAGACAAAGTAAGTATATTCAGTTATGTTGAGAGCTGGAAAGTCCTCTTTGGTGTCAAATTTTGTAGATGGTGGCACAGCATCAAAAGTATATAAAAAAATATTTCACTTCCAGGTAGCAGAGCAGTGTGCAGGAAGGGGACAGCCCTGTGCTTTGGGATGAAAATAGCTACTGCTTACTGGTTCTGGACTTTGCAGTGAGAAATAGGTATTTATATGCAGCTGGTCTGTACTGTGTTCCTTATTTAGCATTAAAAGACAGGCTGTTAGTCACTGTCTTCTCTTGGGGGTTAGTTCTCTGAATTAGCACTTGTTCAGATTGCCCTTCCTTTAAAGGCAGCTTTAAAAAATTACTTGGTGCATCTTTTTTATGTAAGTACATCATGCAGAGGGTCAAACTGTGTTTTGTGTGCCTTGAATCCATGCTTCTCTCATTAAATAAAAAAGCCTAGTAAATTAGCTGCCACTGTTAATCACCAGGGAGGTGCTGGTGGTCAGTACTCTGCTTTTGCTAGAAAGATGTTTCAGGGAGTGGTTATCCTCCTTAGTGGATGGAATGACTGTCTGGTAATACCCTTTAACAGAAGTTTGTAAATCACTCTAGTCCTAAAATTTGTGAAAATCCTCCAGTGACTCAGGCTCTTTCTGCTGTGGCTTTATGCCCTTGCCCATTACATAAGGAGTTCTGAAAGTGTAGGGTCCAGTCTGAACCTTGTGACCCAGAGGGAGGCTCTTCCTTAATGTGGTGTTCTCAGGTCCCTGTGTGACTCATTCTGCCTCAGTTCACTCTGTGTTTCTTCCATGCAGTCAGTGAACCTTGCCATCAAACTTACTGCACTGTGTCAAACTACTGTCAAACTTCCTTAAAAGTTCATAAAATTTATTGAACTCTATCAAATTATTTGGCCTCACACACTGCTGCTTCCCTCTTCTGAGCGAGGGCATCTGCAGCACGAGGGTACCAGGACCACAGTTTTCAGCAGATCTGGCATTTTGTGACAGCAATGCAGGGTTTCCCAGTTTCAAGGAACAACAGAGAGCAAAGAGTTATTTCCTGAAGCCCACCCAGGAGGAGATGCATGGCTTTTCCTTTTACAAAACAACAATTTGTTTGGACTTGACCAGAACCCGTGGAAGTAGCGTCAGTTCATTGCTACCTCAGTGAGGTGAAAATGCCCACACTTCAAAGCTGAACCAGTTTTCTCGATGCTTTTTCAAGCATCAGCTTTTTTCCTGGCTTACTGTCTGGGATCATGTTGGCACTTCTGTCTGCTCTCAGCATTACTGAAGGACACTTTTCCCTGACTCTCTCCAGCCCAGCTTGTGTTACGTTGCGGCAGAAATCCACATGGAGCGTTCGCAGTGATGCTCCGTGGAGGGTCACTGCCTCCAGGGTGTCGTCAGTGATCTGCACACAGTTCTCCAGTTTGAGGCTCTTCAGGTTTGGGCAGTTCTTGAGAAGCTGCAAAATGCAGTCATCTGTAACATGGCCACATCCAGAGAGGGTCAGAGACAGCAGATTTGGACATCTGAAAGCAGGATGGTGACAGGTGAGATGGGAGAAATAAATCACAGAGCTTGCAGAAGCAGATAACATCAAGAATAAATATGAAGGCTGAAAAAATGCCCCCTCTTCATCAGGAGGGGCAAGGAGGCACAAGTAGGTGAGCGTACATGTAGAACTTAATGTTCAGCTTAACTAAAGGCAAAGCTTACTTAGCTTTTCCTGTTGGTAGCAACATCTCTAGCTCAGCTGGCACTGTGGCATGTGGAGGACTATTTAAGCTGTGGCTGCATCATTTTTTCTTAAGGAGTTGGATGGTGCTGTGCTGCTCCAGGCACAGACACAGGAGACCCAGCAGAGAGGAGATTAATTTCAGGATGAAGTGGAGGACAACTGAGAGAAGACACTGCTGTGCAGACATGCTAAGCATGAGCAAGTAAGGCACTCCCACTTAATTTTTAGGAATTACAGATATATTTATCTCCTTGGATTTACTGAAGCCAGCTGCTTCCTAAAAAGTGTTCGATGTTCAAACCCCACTCAGCTCTTAAACTCTCCTTTGAGTCACTGAAACTGGTAATTCTGTTGTTATAAACAATGATGCAGCAAATGAAAAAAGCTTTTTCTTGCTGCTTGAGTAGGCCTGGGGCAGTACAGGAAAGGCCTGTCCCCAGTGGGGCGTTGATGCTGTGCAGGAGCTGTTTGGAGCAGCTGCTGTGCTGAGCTGTCCCTGTGCAGCAGCCTGCAAACAGGTGCCATGTCTGGCTCTGGCTCAGCCCCCTCTCCAGGCAGTAGCAATTCAGCATCCACCAGCTGAACAGAGCACCACAGGCAGCTCTGTGTTCATGTTGCTCTTGTGAGGCCTCTGGACAGAATTTTTTTAACTCTTTTCTGTTAGGAGCAGTTGGAGGAAAAAGCTGGCAGCAGTCAAGAAGGGCTCAAACAGAATAAAACTACTTTAAACTCAGGAAGAAAAGCTGGATATTTAATTTGCATTTTTCTATGTACACAGTGCTAGGAATTTTGACTGGAAATGCTTTCAATGGGTTGCAGTAAAAATAGATAGGACTTTGTATTATCCTTTCTAGGCACAAGTATGCTGATTCCTCCTTAATTAATTCAGATTTTTATCTAATTGTTCTAGAACATTTACTTCAGAAATCTGGCACTTGCAATTTAATCTGTTTTGAAGCTGCTTTTCAGTCCTTGTTCTGAGATTGTACTGCTGCTGGCTCTCTCCTGTCACTATCCCATAATTTTTTCAGTTGTTGTTTCAAAGCTGAGGGCTGTGGCACAGGTGCACCGTGCCAGGGAGGCACTGCCCCCCTTGGCTCTGCTTTGGGACCAAGCCAGCCCTGATGTTCCCCACGCTCAGAGGGAGTAGCTCTACCCTGTGAGCCTCCTCCTGTCACTGCTCTGCTCCTTCCTCAGAGCTGTCTTGCAGCAGCAGAGCTGTGGAGGAAAAGCTCTGCACCCAGAGCTGCTCTTCTGTGGTGGCATTGCTCTTCCCTCGCTGCAGTTTAGCAGCAGCTGGGAGTTTAAACTTCAGCACTTTAGACTGAACTAAAGCTGACACAGCTGACACTTAGTCACATGTTAATTGAACTTGGTTGTAATGAGGTGTGTTCACTGTTTGAAATCTGGGCTCTGCTCCAGGCACCCCCCAGACACTGCCAGAACGGTGTAGTTTAGCTGAGCAGCAGTAGGAGAGGCAGGAATGCACTTTCCCATATTAATTAGAATCTTAGAAATTCTAATTATTAATTAATTAGAATCTTAGAAAAAAAAGAAGGAAAACGTAGACTTAAGGGAGATCTAGAGGAAGTATACACTATTGCCTCTGTAAAATGAACTTACACTACAGCTGTAAAGGCAAAGCACTCATGTACTTCATGCTCCATTTCAGGTAGGGGTTATGGAGTATTTGCAATAACTCTGACTTCACTCATCTCAAGGCAGTTACTGCACACTCACACCCACAGAACGTACCTGTTGCAAACGTCTAGTAAAAAATCACTGACAGTGTTCTCATGCCTCTTACAGAAGTCTTTCTGGAAACTGTTTTTCATCCAGTCCTCAATGTTACACACCTTGACTCTCTCTGAATACCAGCAGATGGATAAGTGTTTTAAAGCAGGTCCCAGGAGAAAATTATCCTTCTTTAGTTCCACTGGAGAATGAAAGTTCAACAAAGACCACAGTAAAGGATCCTGAAATACTTCTAGTAACTTGTGACATGTTTTTGCCAGATTTTTCCTACTGTTTTTGTCCAGAAAAGAGAAGAGATGTAAAAGGCATTCCCGGTTGAGCTGGGTTATGTGCATTGCCCAGCAGCAGTGGCAGAGTGTCTTGGCTGGGTGGAGTAACAGCAGTGCTGGAGGGGGTTCACACTCACCAGGAGGCTGTTGCACATATATGGTTGTGGAATGGGGTTTATTTTTGGCTAACAACTGGTGCAGAAGCTCAGAACAGGGAAAGGAACAGAACCATGTATGTAGCTTGTGCTTCCTTTGTCCAAGGGAATGGAATGGGCATGTACAACTTGGCTGTCATGAAATGCTTCCTTAAAAGGGATTTTCCCCCCCTGCCTGTAGACTCTCCTGGGTGTAGCACAGCTCTTGTGCTGAGTTACTGCAGTGGGGTGGGGCTGTATCTCTGTCAGTGTTTCCCATTTGGGAGATTTGGCTGAGCAGCACTTGGGTTTGGCAGAGTTCACTTGGCTCTCAGTTTGTTCATTGGTTTTTCTGAGGTTGCACATTTGGTTCATGTTCAAGGACTGTTCCATGGATAATGGAACTTTCATAAAGGTTTTTAGAAGGAGCTGAAAGAGTCTCTGGGTGCCTTGAAGCACACACAGGGTCTGCAGTTCAGTTCACAGGCCCCAGAGGTAGGGACAGTTTCCTGCCCACAGTTATTTGAGGCTGAGCTGTGATTCCATAAACAAAGCTGGCTGTGTCCCCACCTTCTGCAAGAGGGAAGCAGTGACACAGAGGCAGCCATGCATGGGAACAGCGAGGCTATGTTTAGCTCCTTGTGGGTTTGTGCTTTTAATAGATGTCTTCTACTGGCTCGAGTTTTACAAGTTTGGCTGTTCTGGTTTTGTAGGTTTAGTTCCATTACCACAGAAATCTTTTTCCCACCCATTGGTGGAATAAGGAGATATGAAAGTGGTTTTCCAGGTAAAAGTATCTGTTGTACAGAAATTGGAGAAAGTGTAGCAGAAAGTTGTTCCTAGAAGAAAAATAAAACTATAGCAAGGGCAGGTTGGAATTAAATGAAATAAACATCCCTTTAACTTTCCAGCTTGTGAATCAAGAATGCTTGAGATGAAGGTATTTATAGTCACTTTCTGCCTGATGTTAATACAAGAGAATAAATACATTCAACAAATCCATAAAAAGTTACAGCAAACAGCACTGGGGGAGTTTTTCAAGTGGCCTGCACACAAATAGTAGCTGGGAAACTTTATGGCATTTTAATTAGAAGTGTTTTAATAGAGGACAAGGTCGAGTGGGACTCAATTTTACCTCCTCCTTCACACCCCAAGAATGCAGTTTAAAATTCAACTCTGAAAAACAAGATCTGAAATCTGTTTGTAGTCTGCAACAATCATAGCTTGAGGAAGTGCTTGAGTAATGTGTATGTCTGAACACAGCTGGCATACACAAAGAAATGGCAATTCTTTCTGCTTCATTCTTTAGTTAGTAACTTTCTACTATATACAGTAAGCTGTGTTTAACAAGTGCTGGTCTTCTTGGTTTTGTATCCTTTGTCCTTTAATCTTATCTTTGAAATGATAAGGAGATTGCTGTTCTCCCTCCCCCTGTCAGAAACAGCTCTGGTCAATGCCACAAAAGGGACAAGAAGATTTCACATACCAGGTAATGCAGTTTACTGCAAAACAGCAGCCTAAAAGATGTGCCTGCAGGTGTTCTTCATTCTCATATTAGCGTTTTCAAAGCTCAAGAACTTACCTTTGTTTTTGTGCAGGTTTAAACAGTTGAGACTTCTCATAGTAAACCCACCAAATTAACAACAAATCAACAATCTGGCAAAGCTGAATGACAAGGATGTTAGGATGGACTCTTGCCAGACAGAGGGGACACACCACAATCTGACATAAAAATTACCAGCAGCTGGGTGACAAGGAATTTAAAATGGAATGGCAGGTCCTCTCTGGGGTCAGGTGCTAAGTTTGGTAGAGGTGTTACAGAGTTAGGAACACTGCAATTGCTTTATTTTGTTTTTCCCACAGCAAGGTACAGTATTCTGCTATTTGTGTTCAGAGGACATACACCAATGTTCTGCAAGCCTGTAGAAGGACAAGGAGTTTCATTTTCTAAGGAAAGGAGACACTTTAATGGCACATTTTCCATAAACACACTATGTGATGAGATATAATTCACATTCATCCTGGAAATGCTCCAGAAACACACAAGATGAGCACAGTCAGTAATCCTCACTGAAAATTACACACAAGATTTTAATGGTAAACAATTACAACTATGGCACTACAGTACTTGAGAATATCCTAAAGCACGTTGGAATCAGCTGTCAAGGTGCCCATTACCTCATCAGTAAGACACAGACACATCAGTAATGAAACATTGCTGGGGGAACTTAACACCGTGTGTTACACTTCCCACTGATTTACTAAATCATCATAAATGGCCTCCTGTTCTTGATACAAGTCCACTATCCCTTCCTGTCTCAAACTTTTAAACTCTCTTGCTGACATTTAGGAGCTGGACATTTTGCTGTTTTGATTGACATAAATATTGGCTCCAGTTGTATACGTGGCTAAACAATCAGTAACAAAAGGACAACCTTTGATTGGACACGTTTTGGTGAAAAAGATGCAAGTCTTTGAACTGTAGAGAGCAGTTGCTGCTTGCAGAGCAGTCTCAAGCAAGAAAAAAACTTCTTGCCAGCTAGTGTGTACTATGATGAGCAGTAAGTAGAAAAAAACATTTGGCTTAAATGAAAGAGATATTCCCCCCCCACAAGCGAGTAGATAAATACAGGATATACAAGCTAGGTTAAAAAGGTAATACTAGGCCAGGTGCAGTATTATGGTACTGGTTCAGTGCTCAGTTACTTTTTTTTTCGACACCACACTGAATAGAATACAGTGGATAAGCAAAGTTCTCCACCAGGAAGAGAAATACTTGTGTTGCCACAACAAACTGTTCATACTGCCCATCTGAGTTTGCAGTGGGAGAAAATTAAATTAGGAAAGGATTTACAATGTACTTGTTCCAGCAAAGCATATGGCTGAGTCCTGAGCAGCACCTGCTGCAAGGACAGCCTGCTGTGATTGCATCGTGTCCCCAGGGCGGCCCACACGGCCCTGCTGGAGCCACCACTGCCCAGGAGCTGCGTGGGACACAGCAAACGGGACTGAAAGAAAATGCTCAAGTCAGAACATAACTGACCCAAACAACTGCTGACAAGTAGAAATCGATTAAAAGAAGTGAATGTTGCTGAAGATTACAAATTTAAATTTCTAAAAATACAGAAAGGCACATTTACATCACTGTTTTGCAAGAAGACTGCATACACCTGACTACTGTAAGTTAAACTGCTGCTGGCCCAGAGACAGTCATGTATTCTAAGCTTGGCATTCTCAAAGGTAAATTCTAAAGAAATCTGGTCCAAGCAGCATGCAGAGAAAACACAGCTAGAGGTGGCATGTGTGCAGCTCCCTGTGAGCAGCAGGAATGGCAGGAATGTGGTACAATGCTTTACCTGCTCCGTTTTCTGCTTGTCTAAAGCATCAGCAACCTCTTCTTGTTGATTAGAAGAAAGACTGCCTGTAAGGAAGGGGAGGTGACAAACTATCTACAGCTTAAAGAAATGACAAATTCTAGTTACTGTTCAACTTAACTAAGAGACAGCATCCTTATAAATATGTCACTGTATCAAATAACACTATAGTCTTAACCTGTGTGCACACTTCAAAACCCATTAGCTATGCTGAATGATTTCTGCAGTTTTGGATTAAACCAATTTGTCCTTATCCTGGCCTGTGAACAGCCAGCAGGACCCCAGGGCAAGGCACTGCTGTGCACTCCCTGTGCCCCAGGCTGCTCTGGGCTCCACTCCAGCCTCCCCTGCCTATGTCCTTCAGGGGCATCAACTAAAACAGGACTCCCACTTGGAGTTTCCAGACAACTGCATTTTCTAGTTAACTAAGAGCTGCTGTTTGGTGCTGGGACTCTCCGTGAACTGTAGGCTCTTACTGAGCTTTCAGGAGCGTCCAGCTCCTTGCCTGGTACAAGAGAGCCAGCTAGAAAGGAGAGACTGAGGGAACTGATCTGAAAATGCAACAGTTCTCAAATTCCATTTTGTCCATTTTGTTTTCTGTCAGATTCCTGGCTTTAGCAGTAGTGGTTTTCCTATCTGCCTTTCCCTTCACAGCAGCTGATTCCACTCAGCAGCAGTAGAGCTAAAACTGGTTTGGGTTTTTTTAGCGTAGTCTTTCTCTATTACGTAGCCAGGTTTTAGAAACTGCACCATGACTCCAGTCTTCACCTAGAGACTGAAAAAATTCCCCCCTGGGCCAGTGTGTAAATGCCACAGGAGCTCTCTGAGCCTGCTCCAGTCACAAGCACGCTCAGCACTTCCCTTGTGAGGGCTCTGCTGTGAGAGACTGAGCATCCTTCCTTGAGTTTGCACTTGAACTGACAGAACAATTTCATGCAAAGCACCTGCAACACCATGACTCCTCTGCTTCCAAGTGAACTGCAGCCATGGAGCAGAGCTGCATTTAGACCTACACCTGTTCTCACAAACCCCAGCCCTTGGGGCTGTACTTCCAACTCCCACTAGGAACTACAGGGTTCTACTTGGGATTCTACTGCCAGGAAGTCTCCCCAGTTTTCAAGCACGTAAGTGTTCATGATCCAATTCCAGGATGACAGTCTAAACCAAGAGATGTCAAATGCAATTCATGTTCTGTTCTAAAACCATAAAGGGCAAAGTAATTTAGACAGGTAAAGAGAATTGTTTTAAATTTGCAGGGGATAGGGGGCAGCATATCTGAGCAGTACTGTAATTAAATTGCAGTATTGATACAACTGAACCAACTGTTTATTTACAATGATTCCTGAAAGTCACCAACCTGAATACACCAATATAGCAGCAATTACCTGGTCTACTTAATGATGTTATATTGCCTCTTCTGCAGACAAAGGATGATTGGTCAGAGGTCACTGCTTAAGTTTCTTGCACGAGGGAAAATAGTGCGTGCAAACAATTCCTTGATTGAAAGAGATTAAGTCATACCTACATAACAGGACTGCGAACAGCATGAAGTTATATTGCTTTTCATGATCAAAAGCACATTTATCTTGCTTGTAAGGAGGACAGAGTTTTTTGATGTAAATGTGCCTTTAGAAAGTGAGAACTGAAAACATTAATATAAAAAAGTCAAATAACTATTTCATGAAACTATATATATAAAAATTGAGTTATCACAACTAAAGCAGCAAATCAAAATCTGCTGAGGTTTTCTGGTATAACTAAAAAAAAAAGTTAGTTTGTGTCCAAGTTCAGTAAGTCAAATGCTACCATTGACACAACAAAACAAAAACCCACAAGAGGAAATTGCAAAGTGCACAATGAAATTAATAAGTCTTGGATCAAGTATTTATGGAAAAATGGAAATGTTTGTCCGGTGGACTTGATAAGTAAGAATGCAAAGGAGGTATTAAAGTTTCTCTGCTCCGGGCTTGGCTTGGCGCTCCACGTAGAAGAGGATGTAGGCCTTGGCCTTGCCCACGGTCTCCTCGTCAGTCAGGGTTACAGTACTGTCATTGAAGTGGAACCAGCGGCCCTCGTGCGCTGCGTACGCTGTGTAGTGGCCGGAGCCAACGCTGTGGAGCAGGCACAGGGACAACAGTCAGGGATTCTCCTCACTGAGGCACCTTCTCCTGGGGCTAAGGGACTGCCTGCAGGAAGGTACTCACAGCCCTGCACAGCAGATGCTTCTCTTTTTGAGTGGTGGGACTCAAATTCTTTTAATTTAAAGTTCTACAAGAACACATTGTCTTGTCCCTTCTACTGTTACTCTCAACAGATCTGTCCGGGGCTGGGGAAAGTTAAAAGACTTCCAGTAACTTTACTTCAAAATATGCCCAGTGCCTTCCCTGGGTGTTCCTGTGAGCCTTCACTGCTGTGGCAGGAAAGGTAATGGTGATGATCTCTTTCACCATATGCATCTTTGGGCAGCAGTTGTTCCAAGCATGCTCATACACTTTAACATAAATGCAAATGTACCTTCCAACATGAATAAAAAGAGGAAAAAAATAGTCCTGTTTTGTAGTAAGAATTTCAGAATGAGACATTAATTCCTGGAAGGCCCCCTGACTCCTCCTCTTGGCTTAGGGCTTTTGTATTTGTGGAGGCACTAGACTATTTTCATTTAATCTCACACATGTAGTCATTAGCCCCAAAGGCTGCCAGGGGGCATTCACAGGCCTGACTCTATTGGATCTATTGAAATTAATTCAGCTTAGCTCCCTGCCAGCTTATAAACTATGGCTTATTTCCCCCCATTAAAATACATGCCCTTGGGACAGAAAGCCCTTCATTCTCTCTGCATGCACCTGAGTGGAGAAGGTCTGTGCCAGGACAGGCTGGCTCCATGTACTCACCCTGAGCCGTGATGCACAACCACAGCCACGAGGTCATACAGGCAGCTCTCTGGGCCACTGTTTTCAGGCTGTGGTAGGAAAAAACAGAAACTCTTCAAATACCAGTAGCACCCTGGAATTTGTAATAAAGACATATGCCTTGGAACAAATTCCTTGCAGGAGCCATCAGAAGTCTTACCTCTAACAAGTAGCATTTCATGTCCAGGCCTCGCAAGGGAAACTCAACATATGTATCAACCTTGTTTCTCAGATATGCTGTCCAGTGAAAGCGTTTCAAGTGTAAGCATAGCACCTACAGGGGAACAGTTACAAAAGGTGTGTTAGAGGAGGGGGCTGAACTCAATTCTGGACATGGCAATAGCCATGGCGAGGAAGAGGTCTTGGCTGAACCATTATTTCCTTTGACATTTTGTCACACTGTTATTTCTCATGCTTATACAAACCTTTGGTAGTTTCTGAATCCAGAATTTTTTGGTGGACTTCTGTTTCTTTTTGCATTTGTGACACATGTACAGCTCTGTCTCATCAAGTTCTTCCAGGTCTGTAAAACTGCGAAGACAATCTAGGAAAAGCAGATTCATCAAATGGTTTATGTAACATGAAACACAACAAATACAGCAATATAGGTGTGCTCATCTGCTGCAACCATTCTAGTTATATCCATCTGAGCAGCAAAAAAGCTGTATAATGTTTAATACAATAATGTGTTGCAACATGCAACCTTCCCTGCTCCTGAAAGCAGCTAGAAGTAGTTTGAAAGAAACAAACATGAATTCCCAAAATCTCCATCTTCCAAACAAGATTCCACCCAACATTCAGCAAAAACTGCTTTCAAACGAAGATAAATTATTTTCTAACATAGAATATTCAACTTTTAAAGCCTGTTTGGCTTTAGATACAAAGTGAACAGACAAAACAACAGGGTTTTGTTGAATAGTTCCATGATTTTCAGCAAGTCTATTCACAAATCTGTAAAAAACTAACATCCTGTAAAAACCAGTCAGTAACAGTACTGCTGCTCAGCCTGCTGGACTGCATTGATGTGGTTTAAATGCAGAACCCCCAAGAGCCACCCTCCCTGTGGGCATGGGCACATGCATCCGAGGACAGAGCCCCAGTGAACACCCACAGGCAACAGTACAGATCAGTGTCTGGGAAGAGAGAACTACACTGGAAATGCTCTGATTAGAAAGAAAATCCTCCTGGGCCTGGTATGATTTCATTAGGCAGGCACTCTTACCTCGTAGCGTGCACATTGGTCCACCCTCTTGGTTTTTAGTACGTTTATTTCTGAACTGACTTGGAATATCTAGCGAAAGGTCTAGAAAAGCAATGATTTAAAAACAACATTAGGGCTGAATTGAGCAGTGCCCAGTCTTTTCAGGCTGACACGCTGGGTCTGTCATGTGACATCTAAATATATCAAGCTTCAGATTTAATTTTCTGCTCTACACAAGAGGCAGCATCTTACCTAGGAATGGGTCAAACTTTCTAGATTCAGTCCCACATATTAGGCAGTTGACTTCATTTTGAAGAATGCCTCCGAAAATGGCAGTGACAACAGTAGATGCTCCATTTCTAGACAAAGCACATCAGAGAAGAGCAGTCACTCAGACAGCCTGAGCTGAATTCCCAACACCTGTCCAATGTTTGGTGCTCACACCTGCTGCTGTTGGGCCCAGCCAATGGAACAGGGACTGGGTGCTCCAGGCAGAATGGGCACTGCAGCTGCCCAGGGGCACATCACATCAATGTAGTGCCTGCACTGCTTTATCTTGGACCTAAAGAAAGGGTGAACTGGGGGCTCTAAGCAGATGCTCAAACTGAAAGTGCTGTGGTACAGCTGGGTGCATTTCTATAGTCAAGCTGTACTGGATGCTCACACAAGCCAGGATTTTAACCCTGTAATTAAGACTTCATCTGAAACAAAAATTCTTTCTTCTTTGGTAGGTTAAGCATATTTTTGTTTTAACTCTACACCCTTTCTTACATGTGCTTTTGACTTTTTTGAGCACATTTCTGCACTTCACTGCCAGCAGCAGCTTAAGTTGCATTAAGACGTGATAAACAATGTGCAAGATCAGCATTGTTCTCTAATCTTTCATTACTCTCCTACTGAATTTTTCAGCAGATTATGTAATGGGCCTGCTTCTCACAGGCAATTTAAAAAACACACAGATTTTAAGTTATGTTATTATACACTACTAAGGCTTGCAGAAACCTGTGTTCCTTGCCTGCACTCCACCTACATCTTTACAGCTCATCTCAATGCTTCCTGAGCAAGAGGAAATAGCTGCTCACATGGGCTGGTGCACAAGAAGAGAGCATCCAGAGCCTATTTGTTACTTTACTGGAAGCATTAAAGTGCCCTCAACAAGAAGGGCAGCTTACCCCACGTCACTGCACAATTGAACAGCCCTTCTCAAGACAAAGTTACATTAAATAGGTGAACAAAGGTTAAATTCTCCTGGGATTCTGACATCCAAAATACTGACAAAACAAAGTCAGTTTAGATTTCAAATACATGTCAATCCTACAAACATTTTAAGATTCTTCTGGGGGATTTTTAAGCATCAGCAACACGACATAAATGCAGTAAAGAGCACAGTCTGAATTTTGTTAGGCTTTCCCTAACAAAGCATCTATAAAACCCTCCATCTCAGGCCTGCTTACTCGGTCCTAATCAGTATAGAAGGAAAAACTCAAACTCTGGTTTTCTGTAGGGAATTAAGGACTTAAGGACCAAATGTGCAGGCTAATCTGACAACTTTCCTTCCTGAAGCAAAATAAGGTTTTGTCTCTTGTGTGAGTTTCAATCTAAGAGAAAACACAGCTAGGACAGAGGTCAGAAAAAACCAGTATTTTGAGAAATACAGAAAGAGGAGTCAAACACCCAAATTACACCTGTTTCAAGGTACACAGTAGCATGAAAACCAAAATTATGCACAAAAAAAAGCACCAGCTGTAACTGTCAAGTGATACATGAGATCATCTGCTGGAAAACTGACTCCAAGTGCTAACTGCACTACTCAGTCATTTATCCAGGAGGTCTGCTCACAATTTAAACATCAAAATTGCTGGCCATCGTTTTGCTCCTGCAGCATTGAGGCTATCCATCACCCTAAGACAATTATACTGTCTGGGGAGAAGAAAGAATTCTATGGGCTATAGAAAATACAGTTTTTTATTTCTGAAAGACTAGTGAATTAAAATGTCTTTAAACTTAGCCTGTATGCTCACTCACACCTATGCAAACTGCTGATCTAAGACACTTCCTTTGGAAGGGACACAGATTGTACAGAATGCTCATCTTCATGACCTGCAGTTTTGTACTGCCCAAAGTTAGAAGCACTGAAGAAAACTTAAAACAAGGAACACTGAATCTGAAATTCCAGAGCCACCACATGCAGACCCATGCAAAGGCATGAAGGCTTTAAAGAAATTAAAAACCACTTCTTACATGCAACATTTGTTGCTTCCAGACAGGTTAGAATTTTCTTGCAAGATTACTGAACGTGAAACACCGTTGAAGCCACCCTGGAGTTCCAGGTGTAGATGGTCCAAAAGGTAACGCATGAACTCGTGGGCATCCTGTTGCTGGTATCCCCTGAAGAGAAAAGGAAACAATAACAAAGTTGCTTTAGAGGCAACACACAACAAGCACCAAGGTCACAGGAAAAAAACCTTTGCTTCTTTAACCCTACTGAGCAGACTTTCCATATGTGCTTGGTACCAAGAAAGTTTTCCAAGTAGCCTCTGGAAGGACACAGCAATGTCCTGACAAATTAAGTGATTTTGGTCCTTTGCAGCTCGTGCTCTCTGCATGCCTCTTGTGAAAATGGAGAAACCTTTAAGAATATACAATTCAGATAGGAAGAGAAAGCAGCAGGAAGCAGGAGGCACCCGCCATGTGCTCACACAGCTGGGCCTAGTGGAGCTGCCACATTGTTATCTGGCCTCAGCAGCCCTGCCTGTGCCAGAGGCATCCCAGGACTGTGTCCCTGTTAAATGCAACACACAATGGATGGCAGCAGTGGCTTCTCCTCTGTCTTGTTTGGTACTGACTATGTTTGATTTGTGCCTCAGCAGAACTGCTTTCAATCTCATTCACACAGGACACTATTTGTCCCTGCTTTGAATCGGCCACAGATGAAGGTCAATATATTGTAATCTCAAACCTGGTAAGATTCAAAAGAAAGACACCACAAAATGTATTGTTCATGTGGGATGCAGAGTCAGCATTTCTGAGTGGTTCTCATTCAGTCATTGATCCCACTCACTTTGGCAAGTACATGTGTTTGTCTGTTCAGTCCCCTCCTCACCAAAGGCAGGAATTTAGTCTCTAGGTTTGTTTTCCACAGGCATCTTTCAGCATCACTATGAAGTCTGCAATAATTAGGATGAGAGCACTATTTCTTCTAGGATGAGATCTAGAGCCATGCTCGAAGTTGCACACTGCCCCTGCATAACTCATTTTCTGGGAGAGGGAGGGAATGGCAGGGGTACTCAGAGCATCTCTTAGGCATTTGGATTTGGTAGGACAGGGCTCCAGTCTCACATGTGCTGTGCCATCAGCAGCAATGCTGCTCAATCACCATTATTATTTCACCACTAAGAAACCTTACTGAAAAGAGCAGAGAAGCCATCAGGGTAAAACACGCCGTTTAAGTTATTTAAGCTGAATCATGCATAAAATTCAACAAACAGCTGGTTTTCACTTGCCATTAAGCTGCACACTGAGACAAAGCATGACAAGATAGGCAGTGAAACGCTGAAAGCTTTGTGCAACACTGACCTGAGCATGTGCAAGCCACTGTAGGCCTAAGCTACAGAAATCCCTACATAGCAAGAGCTGGCTTCCCCTCCACCTCCTGTCCATTCTCATAAGCTGCTTCATCAGGCCTCCCCTTTTCCACCTCACTACCCTGCCTAAGTGCTGGCAGTAATTGTCAGGTAGGAATGTCTGGGAGAGAAATATAAATGGGTTTATAAATGTGAGTGCTCAGGGGAGGGAAAAATCCTGTAAGATTGACAGCAGAGTACCCAGAAGGGGAGAGAAATGCTACCAGACTCACTGCAACAGAAGTATGCAAAGTGAGGCTGATGTGCTTAGTGAGGAACACAGATGTGTCCAGTGAGAGTATTGCTAAGAGGTAACAGAACAAAACAAAAAAAAATTCACCTTGTAGGATTACAGTAATGCTTTCTTCCAAACCAGCAGCTTTAAAATAAATCAAGGAGTGTGTATATAGACACATGGGCAGCACTGCCTACCTTTTACAAGGGAAAACCCAGCACCCAGAGACACTGCTGTGCTTCAACAGGCCACAGTCCTGTACAGCCAAGATAGGGCTTACTGTCCCAGAGTTGCAAAGCAATTATATGTTTGGTATAACTGCTGGCATTAAACTTCCTTGATTCTCATCATTTAAATGAAAGATAACTAACTGTATGGAGAACAGAATAAACAGATTTCTGTTGTTTGGGTTATTCATTGAGCAGATGTATTCACAGCATCTTGTCAGCAGTGCTAGAGATATAACAGGTAAGAGAACATCTTTATTATGTGAGAACATGGAGCAATTGCAGTGGTTTTGGTTCACTAATCTGAGTTTTTCAGTTAATACACCAATTAATGTAGTGGGTTTAGCACTGGCCAAATGCCAATGTACTCATTAGAATTATTTATTCATTTTTTTGCTGCAAGATAAGGATTAGGACGAGAGCAAAGCAGACTCAAAACTTTAAAGGGCATAAAGAAATCTTTATAAACGAAACTAAAAGAAAAATATTAAGAAATCAGAATAAACCTTCAGAACACTTCTCCCTCCAACACTTCTTTCTTTTCTCTCTGACAATGTACAGAGACAAAATGTGGTATTTTCAGTCAGTTTATTACTTCTTTCTTCAATTTACTTAGGGAGAGGAGTCTTTCTTGCCATGTCATGGAGATTTTTTCACAAGAAACAGTTCTTTCATGGTTTTAATTTTCACTAATAGCAGCCACCTGGAAACTTGCAACTGTGAAGTCTCTCCTACGTTTGGTAGATTTTTCACTACTACTACCATGGGTCATTTCAGTTCATTGGGGTGAAATTTTAAGGATGAGTGCTCTAGTACAGAGACAAAAGTTTTCTTTATATAATTTTGGGAATCAGAGGTCTCTTTTTCTATCCCTGGGGCAAGATTTTTCATCTCTTTAATTACTCTCGAAACTTTTCATCCAATTACAGCTACTTCAACATCTGCTTGCTTTAGTATTGGTGCTCCTGCTCATGGCTGTGCTTAGAACACTACATCTCTCCAAGGCATTTTATGAGTTATAGGGAAAAAGTCTGATGGATTAATTACATCTCCATCATAGCTTTAAAACAGAATTTTAGCTTAAGACTAACGCTTTTTTTTTTCTTTATTTGGGCTTTGGCTCTTTTTTCTCATCGATGTTGGTTTCTTTCTGTTGTTCTTTTTATGTGCTTTTAATTTTTTTTTATTTGGGAGAAGTGGCGCTGGCAGGTTTCTTTGTTTTAGAATGGAATTTTATAGCACTGAATGAGTTAATTTTATTTGGGCTTTGCATTAGGAAATGGCTTTTTGTTGCTGGTCACAGGATTTCTGCCAGGCAGTGGCACAGAGGCTCACAGCATTGCTTTCAGCTGTTCCTGTGCTTCTGAATTGGGATTATGAAGCACATAATCCCAATTCACTTTTTTAAGTGGTTTTTCACTTATTTCCCTTTTTCCAGTGAATTTCACTTTTTTAAGTGGTATTTCACTTTTTAAGTGGTATTTCACTTTTTTAAGTGGTTTAACAGGGTGTCAATATTTAAAATGAGCTAGCTGATTGGTTTTGTCAGGTACAAAGGAAGCTGTTACAGTTTTTATAAGGAATTACTTCAATAGCTGGTGGATTTTTTCCTTAACTAAAAACCAAACTATGGTAAACTACAACAGCAACTTACCTTCATCACAATATATTCTAACAGGTTTCAGTGCTCCTTTGAAAGAGGTTCAGGGGTCAGGACAGGGAGACCTTTGAGAGGAACAATACTTGGGTTTACTTGGGTAACCTTCTTTACCACTTTCTCTTTATCATCTGTTTTGTAAGTATGGGCCCAAAGTGCTTATTATGCACAGAATTTTTCTTTTCTAGCCCTTATGTCATGTCCAGCTGGTGACTGCTGTATTTTGAGAGAATCAAGGAAGTTTCAGCCAGTATGTTTGCATTTAGACCTGTAGGTGCTGTATCTTTTTTAATCTGACTACATCATTTTCTTACTGCAGCCAAGCCTGGGTTCAGTCAACACCCTGCACTTGGCACTTACCAACCAGGCAATAGCTTGATTCCTTTGGAGCACTAGCTCAAAGGTACAACTACCACTGCTTCTCCTGTGAGATCTTATTCTCTCTGAAAGTGCTACATGTGGCAGAAGGGCAGAAGGAAAAAGCAAGCACTACTGATGAACAGAAAACTGTTGATCAAAGCAAAAATCCTTTTCAAAGCACATTTGTAGGCATATGGAAAGCTACACAGAGTGCATCCTGTGGATGCAGTTCATTTTAGAGTAGGACACCAGTAATATGTGGTTGCAATCTAGAATACTGTTATTTTTTAAAAAAACTTACCTAAAATTTGGCATTATTTTCCAAACAACGTAAAATAAAGACTCTGGACTAAATGCAGTTTGGCTTCCTTGCCATAAAGCACAGAGTGTCTTTCTGAATTCTTCCACAAGTGAACTGTAAAGAAAGTAAGAGCTGGTGTTTAATGTGCATTTGTTTACAACCCTTAGAGGTTTACTTGTTCAATGGTACAAGTATCAGACATTAGCTGGGTTAAGACTGTAACGACTGGGTAAATATCCTTTCCAGTAGCTTCAAAGATTTTATGTCCAAAATCCTACCCACAATTGTTGCAGACACACAGATTTGGGAAGTTGTATTTCAGATGTTCAGGATGGACTCGTGAACACCTATGCACTGTTTGTCATTTTAGTGCAGACTCTGCTAACATCCTTTTAGCATCCTTCTAACACTTGCTCAAGCAACCTACAGATCATCAATCACTTACTCCTGAACTTCCTGTAGTAGTAGTCACAGTAGGCTGACTTGCAGTCACATCCTCATGACCCTATTTTAGCTGGAAGTCAGGAGCATAATGTCTGCAGCACATATCAAGAGGACTTCTTACCATGGTTTAACATGCCACACTCCAGCACTACCTGATGCACCTGACTGCCTCTCCCTGCAGCATCAGACCTCTAACAGCAAGCTGCCAGTGCTACAAGTTTCTTTCTTTGTAGACAACTATTCTTCTGTGCCTTTGTCCCCTGTGAACTGAGCAAGATCAAAAGTGTCCAGTGGCCCCAGCAGCCCAACCTTGCTGTTTGCTGCCCAGCTGAGAGCTCACAAGGCACACACAGCTTACACATTGTTATCCCCCTGGCTCCTGGTGTGGTAAGTTCGCCGCCCTGCCGTCTTCCCATTCCTCAGCTCCACTGCAGGCAACTCTTTGAAGTAACAGCAAAACTGCTGAATGTTACTAGGAAAAATGAAATAAGAATGAAATCCTTTAAGGGCAGAGAAAAAGGATAATATTATGTATTCTGGAGCTTGTTCTCTGAAATGCATGAACACCACCCCATGCAGTGATACAGGACAGCAATCACAAACAGTTCAAGAGACAAGAAACACTACAGCAAATACCTTCTGTCAGTAACTACACAGACCCGCAAACATCACTGTCATCCATCCCAGCTCCCTCAAATAATGACATTTTGGCTCTGCTTTGACTAAGAGATACCCTGCCAGCTGAGCTACCATTTCCTAACAACCCAGACCTGCATTTGCTGAGGAAGTTAACTTACTTTACTGGCCTCAGCAGCCAAGGGGCACTCTCCTGGTCTGCCAAGGCCATGGCACGTTTCCTCTGGAATGCTGTACCACAGGAAGTGCCTCACACCATGAAACACAACTTTATCAACCCATGCACACCCACTGCTGCCAATTCAGATACGCTTCTGTCCAGTGGGAACATGCCAAATCCACCTGCCCAATGCTGCAGCACACAAGCCCCCTGAGAGTGGTGGGAGAGCTGGGGAAGGTACCTGAGTGACTGAAGGATTGCATTCATGAAACAAGTGTTCCCCAGGTTCCGAAGGCCTGTGGCACAAAGGGCAGTGGTGCTTCCCTAGAATGAGAACAGTTAGGTTACAGAAAGATTCATCACTGCTCCACCTCTTCCCTCCTGCAGAGCCACCACTGTCAGACCAAGCACAGATCTGAACAATAACCAACTACACCGAATGCAGCTGCAAAGATAAACAACCCCCTCAGCAGCTCAAAGTGCCCTGAAGCTCCATCTTGACATGAAAACTCTTTCTTACTCATTCCTGTCAAGAGAAAAACTATACTACATCTTTTCCTGTGCAAATAAATCTAGAATAGGACACTACAGTTAATCACAGGCTCTTATTGCCAAGGATTTGTGTGTGTGTATGTATGTTAAATATTCACACTCCAACAGTGTTCAGTGAGAACTGGACAGCAATTTCCCTACAGTGCCCTTGAAAAATTAAAGTACCAATCCTCATCCATCTTTTCCCATGTCTGATATGCACAGTATGGCCACCTCCAGGTTGTTTTTAAGTCACCAGCACTAGTCTGAGTCTCAGTGGGATTCTGTGGTGGCCAGAAGGATTTTTGAAAGACAAGACAACAGCATTTATTTGGGAAATAAACAGTCAAGTTAGACTGTGCAAAGAAGAGGCAAAGAGTTGAAAAAAGAGAAGCAAAATACACATCATTTACAGCCTAGAACAATGAACCCACAGATGTTCATGTTTGCTTGCTTTTCACCAAATTATCTCCAGAGTGGTGGGGAGGAAAGGGAAGAAAAATGTGGACAACACTGCATTTATGCATTTTACTGGCTTTCAGTTTTCCAAACAAATGATGCTGTGTACTGCCACAGCAAGAAAGCCCCACTATTTCTCCTAGGCTTCCTCAATCTCTGCAAGATTGGGACAGTGCAGGAAGTGCAGACAGCACATTCAGACAACCCTAAACTGACTGTAGTAGTGCATTTTTTAAAGTAACTAAACCCCTCCAGACTTTGCCAACAGCAACCAACTGCTTTGCTCCACCCCAGGCTCTTATTCCCACTCACATCCCCTCGGGCAGTTGTTCCTATGGCTGAAGGAGCTGCTGTTCCAGCTGCTTTTGGTGACACTGCTGTCCCACAGCCCAAAAGCTCTGCTCCATCTCTCCCCCATTTTCCCCATATTCACTGGTGAAAATGAACCAGTTGAATACAGCTGGGTCAGTATCTCCCCTCTCCATCCTCAAATTCTGGAAGAAATAATGAAAACTCCCATAATCCAATCTGTGCAAAAGAGACATCTGACTTGTGACATTCTTTGTTTGGAAGAAATGATGCAGCCCCTCGGCCATCTAGCCTGGGCTGGATCCTCCTCTCCTGGGTGCTATCTTGCACATCTGAAGTTAGAATAGCAGGAAGATGAAATGAGGAGAAGAAAAGCCTAAAAACAGTCCATAGTTCCTCTTGAAAGCAAGTTTTACTGAGCTCTTTTAAAAAACTGGTAACATTTTTTACTTTTTCCTAACAATTACTCTTAGCCTCCCTCAAGAATGTACCTCCTCCTTTGCCTTCTGCACCTGGGACAATAAAAAACCAAAAAATGACATAAGCTGCTTGTCTGCTCAGAAAACCAAAGTTCCATCTTGACATGAAACCCTTCTAAAGCTCAGGAAAGCTCAGTCTACATCAACAGAAATGCAGCAGAGCATCAGCCATGTTTGTGTGTGAAAGGGCTTTTCAGGGGTGTGGCCAGAAGATGCTAAAGAGCACCAAGAACAGTTTGGGTCTAGGTCCAATATAAACCTCAGCAGGTTTACAAAAACCCTTTAAACTCACTGTACCTGATCTGTTGTACTTACATTTACTTTCAATAACTTGCTGTTCAGAGATGAGTTTTCCAATAGTTTTCTTTTCCTATGTCTGTCTGATGTAAAGGCTGAACTGTTGGAAAACAATTATAAGTGGTTATTTACCAGAGAAACAATATTGTGTGGAATGGAGCAGAGAAAATCAACTCATGTTTAACAAAGTGATTCCTTCTGTCACCAGTTGTCACTGACAGCAAACAGGCTCCCCATTGCTGCAGTATGGAATTGGCTGCACCTCCCTCAGGGCACAGCCCCACTGCCCAGTAAGTTTATGGAGGATGCTCTGCTCAGGGATGTGTGCCTTCAAGAGTGGCCTTAGTAGCAGCTACTCCTCATCTAAAATATTCATCCTTCTCCTAGGTCAAAGAAATTAAGTTCTTCTGTCAGGAAAATCATGTAAGCCTTTAAAAATACAACTTAAAAAAAATCACAACAAAATTAAGTTCCCAAAAATCAAGAGTATGTGGAATGTTAGTGCTTGTGTATGGTAACTGACTTCTCTTACTCAAAGAAAAATACACCAAGTTCTAACATTTGTGTAATACTCACTTACAAAAATAATTGCTTAGTCTTTTGCACATCAATGGAAATTAATGGACCCTCAATTAAACCAGTTGATGACTTCTCTCTAATTTGATGCTGAAATCATTGCTTATTTCAGGGTTTGGTTGGTAGGTTTTTTCCTTTTCCTTTCTTTTTTATTAAAACGTCCTCCAAGCATTCAAAAGCTACCATTACACAGAATGGAAGCCTGCACTGTATCTTTTACTTCCCAAGAAGTTACATGGCTTGGATGTTTCCAATTCACTTCTCATTATACTTAAACATCTTTACATCTCATAATGCACCTGACAAGACCATCAGAAGAGGATGGAAAATAATGAAAATATTAAGATAACCTACATGTAATTGATACACTTAGCTCAGGGAGGATCCAGAGATTTCCCCAGATCACAGGAATTTCATAGCAGGAGTCTTGTGTGAACTCAGGGGCATTCTGATGTACATGGAAGCACTGAATGCACCCATATTTCTGCTTGGCACTAGGTAAAATTTTCAGGCCAACTGTGCAAGCACTTTTTGCTCTCTAGGACTGGCCACAGCACATACATCACCCAGGATCAGGTTATCTGCTTTACAGTGGAACAGCACCAGACAGAGACCAAGGAAAAAATGTCTCTTCTGTGCAGTTCCAAGGTCCTAAGTCTTCTTAATCTTTTTGCTAGCAAATCAAACTGTACAATTAATATGAAGACTACTTCCACCTGCACATCTTGAATTTGTCTAATAAAAAAGCTTATTCTGTTTTTTTGACAAAACTCTGACAACAGAACAAGACATACAATCATGATCAATCAAATCCATTTGTTCTGCACCTCTGCTTCTCAGTGATGAAAAGGTTTTTAAACACAGTGTCAGACACATAGAAGGGTTAAGACACATGTAATTAGATACATATATACATATGAAACAAATACCATTTCAATGATGCACATTACAAGTCTGCCCAAGGCAGTCTGGGTGCAAACAAACTACTTACTTTTCCAAGTTCTGTAGGTGCTCTCTGACCTTCTGTACCAGGCCCAGCTTGGTATCATTGACTACAAAATCATCACAACGATAACTGCAAGAAAAATTGTTTTTAGAATATGCAAAGCACCTCAGTGAAGCAGATCAAACCACACAAGCCCATGTGTGGAAAGCACCAAAGGGATCCAGTGAAAGATTATGAGAACTGGGGAGCACAACACCTCACACTGAGCTTGAAGAAACCCCCTCCAGCAAAAGAGGGTACAGGAACCATCTTATTACATGGGTTTTCTGCTAGTTTAGTCCTTTATTATAAATCAAAACATGATGTACTGCCTGGCCCAAGGCAGAATTCCAGTTCAACAAAAACTGAACAGCGTAACGAAAAGCAGACTTAGTAGTCTATCCACAGATTCATCAGAAAAGACCAACTGACCCCTGGCAAACAGAATACAAAGATTTTATAAATATTTAAACTATTTTAACATTGTAAGTTATCACTGAAACCTGAAATGCTGAACAGATATATACAAAACATAAAAGTCTGTGCTACTGAAAAAACACCAGGGAAGATGATGGACTAAGAGATCACTTGAGTGTTCCAAAGCCAGTCCAGAAGTCTGTGGCAACTTGCAGCTTGTGCTTAACCACAAATATCATTCAATCACTCATCAGTTTCTGTACATACTGGGAAGTGTCAAATTACAGCTTCAAATTTTGGCAGGCAAGTGAACAAGTGAGGAAAATTAACTTTGGATATGTTTAATATCAGAACTGTAGCTATATCTCTCCTTTCCCTTTGGCACAAGAGTGACTCAAATGCAAAATACATCATCATCATCACCTCAGGCCATTCCTCTGCTGGAGCAGATACACATTTGCTTCCTAATTTAATGAAGCTACTGACTTCAGGCCCAAGTGGAATTCACAACACTGTTGCATAAATCAGCAGGTATTGCCAGTGTTACTTTGAACTCTACATTCTTGAAAAGGCTACAGAGTTGAGAAAGTAAAGGTCCTTGCCACTGAATGGAGCCCCTAAGACCAGTGTGCTCAGTAGCTCTGATTTTTCCCTCTAAGAAGAGAAATTACCAGGATGCCTCCAGACATCCAAACACTGCACACAGCAGTTATGGTGTGGCAGCAGCTCTCTGGCCACAGAGAGGAAACACAACTTTCCCAGGCTTTCCTGGGGAAGGCTGTGAGAAGATCAGAGAAAAGAATGATAAATAATTCTTATCTTCACTTGCTGCACCTGTTGTTGTGAACATGTGGAATTGTTATGGAGATCTGTTTACCAAAGGGTGGTTTCCTAACTGGCCAATGGTGATGGTGTTTGGATTGAAGGACCCATTGGGTCCACCTGTATCGACTGTCTGTAAGGGCAATGGGTTCTTAATAAGTACAGTATAATAAAGGGATTGATCAGCCTTCTGGAATCATGGAGTCAGTGCTAATTATTACCCAGCTGGGGGCCTGTGACATCATTATGGGCACTTACACAAGATCTAGAAATTAGTAAGATCACCAGTATTTTTTCTTTTACATTTGTAAAGATGGCCACAGACCAAGTTAGTTTGGAGGGAGAAGTCTGTTAATGTGCTTATTTTTCAGCCACATTCAGGTAGTCCTTGTCAGCTTTTTCAGCCACCTACAAAGACCTAGTGAGGTGCTCCTGCATTTGGCATCCCACAGGAGCCAGCTGTGAGGCCAGCACTCAGAGCACACAGGCCCAGTCAGCCAGTACACAGTGTGGGACCCCAGCTGCACCAGCACAGCCACACTGCTGCTAATGCTGGAGCTACTGCTGAGAAAACAGGGCATGGAAGCAGATCCAAGCTCACTGAAACCTTCAATGAGAACTTATTGCTGAAAGAGAACTTCATTGCTCCCATGCCCTGAAAAAACCTTATTTTTACACACCAGTTTAGCACATGCCCCAAGATGGAAGAATAAAACCAAATACATCAGTAAATGTCAGGGTCCTTCCAACACTGGAAAAGTAATTTTAAGTTTCACTTAGAATCAAGACAATCTTCTATTTCTCTTTTTAATAGGTAGGTTTTTTAAAAAGCCTCTCTTGCAACACTGAGGATTCAGCACTACTATTAGAAATAACAGCATTACCTCCAAACAATTTTGGAGAAACCAAGTAAACAGATTTAGAAGTAGTTTATGTTTTAGCAACTTAAATTTGCTAAGCCCACACACGTTAAGGGTAAACTGCTGAGAAATTACATCCTATATGTGAAGCTGCCATTCAAAACAGCTGCCTAATTTATGATCCTCAGCATTATTGCAAATTAACAAATACCTTTTTTGGATACAGTAGCTACAGCAACGACACAGAACAAATTCTATACCTTGCAGAGGGTCCCTTATATGGCTTGGCACAGTATTTTCCTCTATACACTCTATTTTTAGCCTCTGCTACTTCCAAGACCTAGCCTCCTTTGCTTCTCAAATGGCATTAAGCCAGTGAATATATGCACTGCTCTATGTGAGACCATGAGTGCTTACTGCTGGTACAGTGCTTAGGAGGGACAGAACTTCATGCTGTATTTAAAAGCCTTGACTAGATTTGAAGAATTTGAAGGATAGGAAAAACTAAGAAAAGGTTTCCTTAGTTATGGCAACACCTTATATGAATAAACAAAGAGCTCAAGTTTTACTGTCTGGATAAAAGGCTTTTTGCTCTTCTTATTTTCACTGACTGTAGAATGCAAAATAATAGGACTAAGCAACCTCATTTTCCAATGCTCATGACACCAGCACAGTAAGTCTGGTTTGTTTTTTAAAGAGAACCCTCTTCACAGAGACTAAAAAAGAATTTTTCTAAGTCCTTGACAGTTGGTTATTTTTACACCAGCCAGGAATACACACACACACACCCCTGACAAAGCTGTGTCCCTTTAAGGGGTAACAAGGAGGGTAATGGATGAGAAATCTGACCTGCAAACTGTGTCTGGGATTAAATGAACACAGGAAACATATTATGCAAATATGTCAACAGGGGAGCCTTTCTTCTTCAGTGCCAACTGTCTGTGCACTAGCACAGAGAAAACCAATTCACAAGAGTCCCCTTTCAGGAAAGTGGGGCTCTTACATGGATCATTTTACTTCTCGTGCACAAAAAAACCCTAACACAGAATGGGAAAGCACCCTCTGACAGTTTGAAGACAAAAAAGATCTGTACTTCTTGCAAACTCTTTGTATTATAGTACTTTAGAACTAACTGAAAGGCTGATTACCTCCAAAAAGTGGGATTCAGGACTCTCTCTCTCAGCAGAGTCTGACTGTTTAGTACTGCATCTTTTGTCTCAAAAGCAACCAAAGAATCAAGAAGAGAGCTGTACTCTTGTAACAAAATATTAACAAATTCTCTCAACTTTTCCAATGGTAAAACTGAGCAGCTGAACAGGACTGAGTAAGCAAAGAACAAAACCCTCTGGAAAGACTGCATTACAGGTTATGGCATGGCCAAAGGAAGGCAAAGGATCAAATGCTGCCTTCTTAGAAATCCCATACAGGCCTGTTCACTGATACTATCATGCAAGCCAAGGAATACAGTAAATTGGGATCCATAAGATAAAAATGGAATAAGAGCATCATGCTCAACTTGGTGCAGTAAACAGAACAGCACATAAAAATATAAAAGCATTAAAATAGCTGCATTATTTTTACAGTAGAAATAAAATTCAATTAAGTCTTAAGATGGTATTTTATTGACTTTCAAATTATTGAGGCAGCCCACCCTGGTAGCATAAAATACTCATCTTTCCATAAAGGTTCACCTAAAAGAACCACCATGGTATAAACAGACTGTCTACTGGATTCACATCCACACTGCAGTTCACAAATAGGCTTTGCAAAGCTATTGAAAGCCCATTCACTCTCCACAATACCTAATTATGTCTCAAATGTACCCAACTATTAGCTTTAACTGGCAGCAGCCTCCACAGTACTGTCCAAAAGAAAGGCAGAAAAGTTGATCTGGATGCCTTCTGTTTCATCTTTAAACTTCTGTGCTCATTTCAACTGGGCGCAGTAACAAATTCAAGTATCTTTCCCTGATTATCATGTGGGAAAAACCTGAACTATCCTAAATGAAAGCAAAGATAAACTGCTTTTGAAACTTGTTCACCTTCACATTAGCACAGGGGTTATAATTTGCTGGTGAATTACCTACACAACAGGAACTCCCCAAGGCAAAGCTGGCTACAATTAGTTCCAGTTCATCCACAGATGACTCAGCCCTGGACTACAGCAGCAAAGGCATCAATGCTGAAGTGCTTCCCTTCTGTGCTCCCACAAACACCTCCCCAGGTGCAGGCTGCCTGCCCTGCCCAGCACAGCTGGGTCAGTAACACATCCCACAGCCCCCAGCCTGGCTGCTGGGATTTTGCAATGCCCCCACTGGCTTGGGAGAAGGTCAGCAGGGTGCTCAGACTTGCTGCTCTAACTCACCAAGCCTCAGCAAGTCCAGAACACTCTTTGTCATAATGGAGATATAATCAAAGACTTCAAATACCCTGCTAAAATTCCTCCACAGATTATTACCTTCAGAATGACTGGAAGACAGGGTATAATTCAAACAAAACAAAAAGCCACAACAGAGAACTCAGCTGCTACCAGTACTGATTGGGAAAGTGAAACTAGCTTCTCATAGCTGTCACAATGCTGGTAACCTGTGCAAATTTACCCCTTGGAAAACTTGTCAGTTTTCTCATGTATTCACATAGGAGCAGATAAAAATGCCGGTCATTAAAATAAAATGCAAATAAAGCAAAATTCCCCTACATCACAAAGCTACTCAGACCTTTAGTCTGTGCTTAAACACCTACAGCTGCTTCCACCATCTAAGCAGTTTTTGAGTTGCTCTGAACAACATTTCTTCAGGTGAAATCACATAACTGGGGTTTTACTTGCAGGGGATAAAAATGTTTGTTACAGAAGCATTCCTCATGAAACTACTTCATCAAACAGACTTTTTTTTTCCCTAATGAACCACCCAAAAGACACCCAACTATTTGAATAAAATACCCATTAGAGCAGCCACATATCCAGTAATTTTACAAGACCATAACAGGGACTTCCCCGAGATTTCCACTGCTCAAATCCTGCTCTGCCACACTGCACAAGTAACACCACACATGGGGAACCATGGAGCAGCTGCCCATGGGGAAGCACCTGTCAAGAGGTTCCCTTAAGGGGGGAGAGGATGGAGGATGCTGAGGCAAGCAGTGCTTTCCACTGACTCCCAGTCTTTGCCCTCTGGGGAACAAGGACCATGGGGAACCCAACATCAGCAGCATCAATATTAAGTTTCCCTAAACAGTGCATATCACACTGCAAGAACCCCACAGAAGGAATCAGCCCAGGCCACTGTGCTGTTTAAAGAAACATTTCTGACTGTTTTCCTTACTCTTGCTAGAGACTTGATGCTGCTTCCCAACAGGATCAGCCACTTTCCCAGCCTCACAGAAAGTACACACACAGACACAACTCCAGTTCAGATCTCTTGGACAGGAACTACAGTGTAATAGTTTACCTTCTGAATTTTGACAAATAAAGGACATGTGAAAGGCTCACCAGCTTGATGGAAGGAGCAACACCAACCAAATGGCTTTTGCAATTAAGAGGTTTGGGTCTCCACACACCCCAAAGCAAAAAGCAGCAACTCCAAAGCCCATAGCACTTATTTCCAAAGGTTTCTTTGTTTAGGACATTTGACATGTGAGAGTTTAGTTACAGCCAGTAACTGTACAGTGCTGCAATAGACATAGAAAAGCAGAGTGTTCCAAAAAGACAGGTCTGGGAAGCAAAAGATGAAATGCTCAAAAATGTGTGTAATATAATACTGCACAAGAGTCTGATGTTTTTGCCTGTATATAAAAAGTTGTCAAATTACAGTGTTTAAACCCTTACCAGTATGTACTGTAACTACTGCAATCCATACACACAGTATGCTGAACTTTCTCCTGTTTTTCTGTTTTCTTATGATTGGTCATAGGAATCTGTGCATCTTCATAATGCTTTTTTGCATGGCCATTCACATATCTAAAATAAATGTAAAAGAAAGAAGTTGATACTTCTAAACAGCTAATCAACATTCATTAAAAAAACAGCAATAAAAAAGGTATCCAATATTTACAACAGCATCAGAAAGACAATTCATTTGTGTGAAAACACTGGCCAAATCTTCTAATGTTTTCCCCCTTTGCTCCCTCCTGTGGTCCAAAGTGGCCCCTCCACCTCCTTGACCAAATCCCAGGATCTGTGCTCCTAACAGACTGATGCACTTCCACAACTGAGAAAATCCTGAACCCCCTTTTTCCCATACCTGTAGTGCACTTAGTTCTCTGCACTGCCTTCACATATACTCTTCTTACAGCTCTACCTTTTCTCCCCCAGCACTTGTATTTGGGATCCCTTTAACAGAGTGCTGACTCCCATTTCCAGCTTTCCCATTCTGCAGCATGATTTAATGTTACAGACATTGAGTTCATGAACTTGGGCTCTGGAGCTTGTTGTTACATAAGGGAATAAGAATCTAAAATCCTGCAGCTCTTTTGCTGACACAATGAGCATTTTCATGCTCAAAGTTTGACATATAGGAAATTAAGCACCTTTAATTAAAAAAAAAAAGAGCCCTAAGGTGTATTTTATTTTCTCATTCAATTATTTTCCATTCTCAGGATGGGAGACGTTTGGAAAGACAAAAAAACCCCTGCATAAATAACTGACTCAATATCTACCAATTGCACATAAGAAAGGCTATTTGCAAACAGTGGTAATTTTATAAGATTAGTAACAATTAAAATATTCCAATATTTATTGCACACCATTGCATTCCATGAAGTATCTCCCCCTCTCTTAGCTCCCACCAAGTATAAATTTATTAAATAGAAAAACAGAGGGGAAAAAAGGGTCAGTATCAAAAACTCTTAATAGGACACATTATTAAAACTGTAGCACTTAGTGATACCCAGATCAAACAACCAAAACCTGGAGTTTTATTCAAACCACATTAAAAGACAAAATCACTATATTTAATGATGCTTTCCCAGAATAACAGCACACCAGCACAGATGTTACCCAACAGAAGAAATCATGTTCATGCCTCAGATACTGTCTAAATGTCAATACTAACTGCATTCCAATAATCTGTGCATCTCAAACATTTATGCAGCAGCACATTTTCTACATTATCCTGACATATAAATAACAGCATGACTATATAATTCCTCCACAATTTATTTGGTGTACTTCAACTAATACAGACATCAAGGTGAAGTCGGAAGGAATTCTGATGGCAGCTACCTCTTACATGCTATGGCAATAATTTTAGGTCCAAAACTACACTGCAGTACATTTAAGCCATTTCCAGTCTCAGGTAAATAGTTGCTGTTTCTCTCAAAATAAGCTGTGCCAACTTGTGGCTTTGCAACAACTCTTATTGTGTTCATCTTATGGCAAAAGAAACATCTTGCACAGAATGGAACTTTACAATAACCTACTGAACTATCACACTTTTTGAACTGAGCAATCAAATTTACTGCCCATTTTACTTTAAAAACCCGATGAAATAAAACCCCCATATCTTGAATGTAATCTCTGGACTCTCCTAAAGTAGCAAAGACCATGTTAAGCATAAACATACAATGTTAAAGGTTTATTTCAGGGAAATTTTGAACTAACTCCCTCAGAGTGAAGCAACAAAGGAGAAAGGTAAAGGTGTGATGAAGATTTGCACACTAACACTGTACCCACCTTCCACAATGGACACTCGAACACGTCAGACAGACCCAGGGACTTTTATTTGACCGGCACACTAGGAAAGATTTTAAAAAGAAAAGTGTCAAACAAATGAAGTCTACTTGATTTTAAAACACAATACAAGAATATCAGAATGACAAAAACACTGGCAAACATTCCATTTTTTCTTTTGGCTTTTAGTAACAGTCCAGTGAACACAGGATAAAAAGCTATGGCACTTCTGTTTTATAAAACTTGTTCTACAAGAAACCATTTTAAAGGAGACACTGCAAGAAGCATGGCAATCTGATAAGGAAGCACACAGAATAAATTACTGTGCAATGCATGCTAATACAGACCATTTATACCATGTGTATTCCTGTGCTGCAGTGCTCAGACAGAATTGTGTATTTGACTTCACCCTCAGTCCTGTACAATCAGCTGAAAGGTTAACATGTAACACCAGTGCTGTGCTTCACAATCTACTCAAGACATCAGATGATGTTATCTAAGTTTTTGGCTGTCACATTTTAAATCTAGAAAATTTAAAATATGGATATTTCAAGCTAAAGGGCCTAAACAAAAAATCCCAAAAACAAACCACCCCCCCCAAAAAAAAGGCAAACACTAAAAAAAGATTGCCATCCCAGGGTAAGGCCATAGAAATGGGATATTCCAACTCTAATTCCAACCCAGCAGGTCACTGAAAGAGGGCTACGAAATACAACACTTAGATTGGAATGAAATAAAATTGTTAACAACTATCCATTACCACAGAATTTACAAAAATAATACTACACTTCCAAATACCCAACTAATATTAAGAGAAAATTAAAATAAAATGCTAAGTGCACTGCTACAAGACCAGAAAACAAAAATAAAATACAACTTCAATTATCCCCAAAATACAAAAGGGTATGATACCACACACATAAATTTTACACATCATAAATTTCTGCTGCTTGGAACAGCCAGTGAAGAGTCACAGAGGAAAGAAAAGGCACTGGGAACTTGAGGGTCTGTGAGGCCAGGGGGTAGAGAGACAAGGAGAAGAGGACTGACCCTGGCTGTACGTGTAAATTACTGATATTGTTATTCATTGTGGGAAAGCTTGAGAACAGCCCTCCCTTGCTGGAGTCAAACCTTGAAACAAGAACTGAGGCAGCACAGAGGCTGCTCCAGGATAGGATCATCTGAGCAGGCTAATTCAGGACGTGTAGCAAAACTCAAAATACAGTTCACCAACTACAAACCACAGTACACAGCCTTGGATCTTAACAGTTTACTATCAGAGAAAACCAAGCTAAGAAAAGTGGTTTCTTTACCAAATTAAATGTTCATTTTTAATGGAAGGGGTCAATTTTGATTCAACAGAGAACTGGCAAGCTTAGCTATTTAGAAGAGCTAATACATTTTTACACTACCAGATTTTACTTTTTTGATTTAAATCAGAAAAAAAAGAGTACACTGCTTTTTAAACAACTGTTTTCTGCATTTGAATTTATTATTACAAATAGCTGCTGCATTTCAATTCCAAAGCTACAAAACCAAGGCATGTTTAAAATGAGAATGTTACTGTGTTACATGGGGGGAAAAAGGCACATTCTCCAGAAATATTTTGTGAAGTAACTTCTTCAAACTCTTTAGTCAAGACTCCAGAACTGCTTCCTTCAGCTGCTTTACTGGAGAAACAGATTTTCTCACAGGTCTCAGTTATCTGAGGCATTGGTTCTACAAAACCCAATTTTTCTATTTCTAAAGCTGCTTATTCCCACAGCTGTGATGGTCATCTTGCAATGGAGAGAGGGCAGCCAGGTAGGGCTGTTTTGGTTTACATTTCAACTCAGGAACATGGAAGAAGTTTGTCTAATTTGACCAAAACATTACCAAGAAACCCAAAATTTAACACTGGCAAACAGAAGAGAAAGGGAAGATCCTAAAAACAGCTATTATAAATTAAAAATGGGCTAAAGGAACCACTGGTCTACCCTGATACAATATTATTTGCTTGAATTTACAAACAGCAATGTAAAATATTAACCAGAAGGAAAGAAAAAGAAGCCAAAACCATTCATGCACTTGATCTGCGTTTAAGTGCTGTGTGAAGAAAGCACCACTTTATACTTTCCATGCCAGGAACATAAAAAAGCTTTTCCTAGGATTAAAATCCTAGCAGAAATTCCCACTGTGAAATAACATGCTTGCTTTCACTATGTTATCATCTATGCATGGAACTGGCTCTCAACCAGTAGGTCAAAGCATTATGATGGAAACTATTACTCCTACTTTCCACCCCTACCAGACAATTACAATTTCACATTCAGGTACTTTAAATACCTGTACTGCTTGTTTGTCAAGTGTTAAATTATACTGAAGGAGTGCTCATTCTGCAGGTTTAAGTGTTCTGAACAAAGTCAGCAAACAAGTCCAACCTCTGCACGATACCAAAAAAAAAAATCACATACGCTAAAATTTTCCATCTTTCCTATCAGGGAATAGGAAAAGATGGTTCATTTGTTTACTTTAACTTTTAGGAAGAACTTTGCCCCAATTGCATCACATCAGAAATGTGTAGTTTATCTTCTGCACAAACATCTCCACCCACAATGAACTCACACCACATGGAAGCGACTCCCACTAAGATTAAACACAGAATCCAGAGTTAAATCTGTGACCTCCAATTGCTCTGTTCTCAGAGAATTACACAACTGATTTTTTGAAGACATTGCTGGAGATTGCATTCTGTATTTCTCTGAGGCTGGCTCAGCAGATAACTGTATTAAAGCCTGGCTCTCCAGGCATTCCTCAGTTCAGATCCTGTAGCAGTTATCATCTTCCTACTTCATAAATTCAATTAGTCTGGAAGTTTCAGGCATTACTTAGGACTTTATCAAGACAGCACCATGGAATGCACAGCAAAATCACAGTCACTGTCCAGAACTACTCATAATCTAAACTAGAGGTAGACAGTTTGGCTTCATGGATAAAGACACTGCACATTATTCCTTTCAGATGGGGTACTGACATGAATACAGTAAGCTTCAAAATAGGCCAGAAGTGAGAGAGAGTGATCCATAGCAAATCCCTTTTCAATTTGAAGAACATTACACAGCCCTGAAGCTGACCCCCAAAACAGATTTGATGTTCTGGACTTTCAGGTCACACACACTAAATCATGAGGAACAATTTTCATTTGTATAGGTACTGATATATTGGCTCCATAATCAGTTTTCCAATTGGGATTTGGAGGTTAGGTTTGTTTTTCTTTAAGCATTAATTTAAAAAGAGAGGGGAGCATTACATTAGCATCCCTTACTTTGGATTAAAGTTATGTTCACACACTGTAACCCCATTAAAAAAATTATCTGTCTTATTTAGTGGTATACAGACCAAGGAACATTGGCTGCTTTCTCAGCTTGGACAAAAGTCTGGCTACTGAAACAGTTACCAACTGCCTCAACTTGCTGTACTTTTAGAATAGATTCAAGTGGTCAGGCAAAGACAATTCTAACACGTCAAAAGAAAAGGGAAAGCAAAGCTGCAATGCCACAATCTTATCTGAGGCCATTTGCCACCTTACATCAAAATCATCTTAATTCAGAAACTTAGAAACACAATTTTTTATCATGTAATAGGAAGAACTCTTTTACAGAATCATTTCTCAAAGTAAAACCTGAATACTGCTGTGTAACACAGTCTGCAAAGCCCTCTCTAAACGAAGAGGAATTATTAATCCATCCCCAGGAGAGTAAAGACTCATACATGACTCTGAGAACACTCAGAGACATCCGTGCAGCTTCCACTTTTTGCAAATCACCCAGATAAGGTTCACTGAGTTATGCCCAACAGAATGAGCAGGATATGGCTCATCCATTGGGTGTTCTGTCACCACAGGGTCCCCACTCCATCCTGCCCCCATGATCATGCAAATACGTCATTTTTGTGCTTGACTTTTTTTTCTTATTGAAAACTGACTCCAAGCACACTTGTGTGAAGCATGACTGCTCCTGGCAAACACTGCATTTCTTACACAGCAAAGATGCAGACTGTCACTGAAGGAAAGTTACAGCTACGTAAAAATATACAACAGACCTGTGGAATGAATGGGTTTGTTTAAACAGCACACTGCATAGCTGTAAAACTGGTAATAGAAAAAAGCAGCAGGAAAAGGAAGAGACACACAGGAAGCAGTTTTTGTAAAGCAGCCAAGCTCAGAAACCTGCAAGATGCAGTGTCCGCCAGAGATCTGGCAGCAGCACAGCCGTGCGATGAACACAGCAGGAGCGACCCCGGGCCAGAGCTGCTGCAGAGCTGTGCCTACAGCCACGGTTTAAAATAGCCCTTCATTGTACATAAAGAAAAGGTCACCAAATATCAGCACATTAAGAGAAATGCTTTAGTTCTTCTGTTAAAAGCACACTGACTAGAAACAAGATTAGGGTCACTAAACTATTTCCAATTGTCTCCACAGCCTTTACCAGCCTGGGCTGAGCTCTCAAAAAGAGCTGTAGCAGCACTCCCATGTTACTGGCCCAGTTATAGACCTCAATAACACAGTGACCTGCACAGAAACATCTCTGGACTAACTGACCTCTGGTCAGTTCACTTTATGTTCACACAATGGGTCAGCTATACCAAAACAAGCTAAACAGAGTTAAGAAACCCCACTGTTGCTCCACTCAGGAAGAAGGAACAATATTTACAAACTTGTGGTATCACTGGTACACTGACACTGTGCTGAGGAAATAATCCCACAAACACAAGCACTTGGTGACAAACACATACCTATGCTACATAAGGACAGCATGCTGTATCATGCAACACACATGTGCCTATCCAAAAACCCCACAATAATACTGTTACAAGAAATGGACTGCTTTTCCTTTCCCATACCTTTACCTTAATTTTGCCTCAAAAATCTCTCAGTGTCCTGTTTAATAATGATTTAGTAATGGGACTCCCATTTTGCTCCTTAAAGAACCTGACAATTGCAGCAAAAGAGAGCCAGGCATTCTTCACTAGCAACATGCGAAGAAAAAAGCAGCGACAATCCACACAGTAACATGAGAAACCCCT